CCTTTTACTTACATCTTATATTCCAAACAAAAATAAAAATGTCATTATGATATCAAATATGCATGATCAAGGTATGATTGACCCGGAATCCGGTGGCAAAAAAAAACCAGAAGTCATAACGTACTATAGTCTATAATGGTACTAAAGGTCAAAGGTGGAGTGGATGTAGGAGTGGATGTAGTAGACGAAATGAAAGGCGAGTACTTGGTGGCAAGAATTAGTTGTCAATGGCCCCTAACTGTTTTTTTTCATTGATGAATATTGCTGGGATAATCAGTCAAATTATATATTGCGAAAATACAGGTAAAATGATAACTCGTCGAGAATATTTAAAAACTTTGGGACAAGAGCTCACTAAACCTAACATGGTAAAACGTCTTGAACAGCCATGTTTATCATTCCTTCTTCGATAACAAATAATAAAAATGACTGGATGTAGGTACTTCACAAAAAAATAAAGAAAGTCCGAATCTAGATGTTTCGACAAGTGATGTAATTTTTGTCCAATAAGAAAAAATCGTTTTATAATAGTAAAATTATAAAGATATTTATTTAGACAAAATATTATTGTTAATCGGTAATATGAAAATTCGTATATTATACATTTTATTATTTTTATATTATATTTTATAGGTCAGTTGTACGTTATGTGGTGTGTATATATGTAAAGAACATACTACTCCTATTTGTCCAACATGCAACACCGTGAAAAAAAACTCGGAAAATTCGAACGATGAGTTATAATTTTAAAAATTGTTATTATTTTAACAGATTTTGTTATAAAAAATTGGTTTGTTTAATTTTTATATTATACCTTTTTTTTCTACCAAAAAATATGTTTTTTTATTTCTAATATTGAAAATTTGAGTGAAATTTGCTATTAAACAATATTATGGTAGGATATAACTAGAAGAATATTTTTATCTTTGTTTTACTACCTATTCCAAGTTCAATAAATATTTCACAGAACCGAAAAAACGATAATGTTACCGGAACGCTAACACGATACCAATCATATAACAGTATTTACCGATACAGATGACGGACTAAGTAGGTAAGTAACTAGATTAATAATATTAAAATTGTATTCTTGTATGAAAATGTTGTGATATACCTATTAATGACTGGTAATTATACAGTATACCGTATTAATGTACTATATGGTATGTTACGATAATAATCAATATGTAGGTAAATTGTATACATCGCAAAATATAAAACCTTTTGATTGACTAGTTATAGCCTATAACTAGCTCCACCTCAAGTTCGCTTACGGACACACCAAGTAAGATTGTTTAATATTCCGAATTTACAATAGAATATACAATCATGATATTTATATATATGTCTTACTTTGATTCTTTTGTTGTACCAAGTATGTTCTATAATCTGGATTATTTAACTTTGCAAGTTCTGGAAAATTAAAAAAACAGCTGAATTACAATCTAATTCAAAAATTTATTTTTTTTATTTCAAAGTATTTTGAAAGAATTTAAACAACATTATTAAGATGTATTAATATAGGCATATAGCAGTCACATTATTATAAAATAAGGTAAGATAAGATAATTTATTGACCAAAAAAGAATAAAATAAATATAAAGTTTATTTGGAACAATTCACTACTGAGGTTGTGCCTCTTTTTGATGAAATTTGAGTTCCTAAAGAGTTAAATTAATTGTTCAACAAAAAAAATATGTGTATTAAATACAACTAAAGTTGCTAAACAAATATGTATTATGCCTATAAGCTAAACTAGACTAAGCTAAGCTAAGTTAAAATTTTAAGCACTTATATATTTTTTAGATTACATATTTACAAAGACCTTAAGTAATTATAGGTTTGTCACATTATAATTATACAATAGAGACATGAAAATACTTGAAAGAAGATAAATATAAAAATAAATAAATAAAAAATAAAAATAGTTAAATTTGCTTTATACATATATATTTAAAAATTTGTTTATATTTTTTGTAGTTTTTGCAGTTTAATAATGTAGATAGAGGTAAGTATATTGTTTGGTAAGTCAAGTCCTGTCTTAACAAAGTGGCTACTTGCTTTTAAAGTTTAATATGTTTGAACTAATTATGTCATTTTCCTTACGGTTGTTCCGTAACATTTTTTCCGCATTTGTAATCTTGAAAACTACCCATCCGATTCACTTTAAATTCTGAGGTAAATTTAAAAAAGATTCAAAAAAAGATAGATTTATAAAATAAGAAGATTCGAAAAAAGAAATAGACGATGACATTGAAATACGAGTAGATAATACACAAATAGTAAATAATAGATTTATGTTCCGTAGGTATTTTTAATATTTTTCTAAAACTATATTTTATTTAAATACTTACGATACAATTCTAAAGAATGTATTTGATACACAAACGTAATATTAGAAAATGCAATTATCATCATTAAAATGATAGAAACATTTAAAACGATTATAGATGAAATAAAAGTCATTTTGTTGGTTACAAAAATGTACGTAATGAACTGTGAATGGCAAATGGTTAGCTAAAATAATAGTTTTTAATAGTTTTCAAAAGTTCAGTTATTTACGAATATTATGTTGCATTATTTTTCAAGCATATACGATATACCTAACATGTATAAACATTTGAGTAAATTATTGACTTTTTACTAAAACAAAAGGTTTTAACACACAGAGTAAATATATAGAAAAAAAAAATTAGACAAATATAATGAAAATATTGTTACCCCAGCTGGCAGACAAGTGATATTTGTACTTTGAGCATTTAAAGATTGTATATTACACATAGCTTCTATCTACATACATAAACTACTATACGCGTTAAATTACTGGTTGATTACTGATAGTTATTCTTATAAATATAAGAAATACTTTGCAATATTATATTGTGGTAAAAACTCAAGTAGAAACAAATGTCCAACGGCAAGAAAGTATATAAATATACGTCTTATATACCTACTTATATACCTACTTATATGTTACTTACAAGTTACAACAAGGTTTCACATGACATTTTTATTTTAAAATTTTAGATTAGACATAATAATGGTGTAGTTCCTATTCAAGTAATTTCAGGAAGTCCTCGGAAGGCAGACATTTGTAATTACAATTAACAGCCTGTGACCGTCCCATTAAAATCCTGTGACTCAGAATGGCTCGGCCTAGGAAGTTCCCTTTATTCCTGAAGGAATATACTAAATACGTCCATAGAACTTCCTTATGTTGTTAGTAGGTACTATAGTAGCTAACTTACCTAACCTAACCTAACCTTTTGGTTTTTGTTTTAACTCTAAAACAAATTAACGTATATACATGAAATTTTCACTGGTAGTTTATATTTGCATTTTCTATACACGATAACATTTTCAAAACATTTTGATTTGTTTTGAACTGCTTAAGAACATTTCCAGTTTCCAATTGTATTAGTCTTTATTTCTGACTTTATTTATTGGGTAAAAAATCTTGAAAATATAATACAAGGCTACGTTTGTGAAGTTTACCCACGTGAAGTACTTCAATTTCTTTTAAATCTATGCCATTATTTTGCAAGTTATTTGCAAGTATTTGCAAGTTTATTTTTAGAATTTGCAAGTCTAAACTTTCACCGTGAATTCAAAAAGTTAAAGGTGGGCCAACTTTACGTAGTCCACTCATTTTGACCGAGAACTTCGAAATCGGTATCAAACGAAAGCTAATGATTAGCAAGAATTTGCAAGTCTGATTTTAGAATTTGGAAGTCATTCGGGCGGCTTCTATAAACTTTTTAACTTGTGAAAAGGGTGGCCCACCCAAGTTGCCCTAAAAGTTTGAAAATGGTACCAAACGATACCTTTTAATTTGTAAGTCCCAACTTAAAATTTGCAAGTCATTCAGGTGGTCGCTATGAAGTGTCCGCTTACTTTTGAAGTTTTTCATTTTCGGGGTGTTTTGAAATTGGCCCCCCGACTTAACCCAATCTACTACAAACCTATTGTAATATTTTGCAACTAATTTATCTTTATGAAATTTACTCTTTATGAAATTTGCAAATTTATACTTTAACAACTATAGACATATTTCATAGCTAGCCCCCGACACAAAAAACTATATTTTTAGGAAAAATTTCTATATTGATTAAAAAAAAAAAACTAATTTGGATAAAAAAAAAGTCGTGGAATATCACTAAAATCTATATCTAATAATGAAAATTTAATTTAATTAAAAAATATCAAATCAAATAAAATAATTCTACATAATTTAATAAAAAAAAAGTCTATTTTGAATACAAAAATTTAAAAGGAATTAAAAAATAAAATATAGTTATAAATAACTTGAATTTTTTTATTAACTACTTTAATAAGGGCCCTTAATGTGTTGACATGTCACCGGCCAATACAATAATCCTGCCAGATGAGGTTATCGATGAACTTATAGCATCAAAAAAGATGGAAAACGGGATTTTGTATTATAACTATTATTTTTTGTTTATCGTATTAAACATGTGATTGGAGTTATTATGAATTTATAATAAATGCTATTAGGTACGGTGCAATGCAATTTGTATTAATTCTTATTTCACCTTCATCCACACCAACCTCAACAAGTTAGTGGATTTTAAAAATGTATATTATATACGTATTTATGGGTGTACCTATTATTATATATTTCATCCCCCCCTAGCAAAATACCTAAATTCCCCACTGTATTGTGTGACAAGGGCCTAGTGGCGCAACCAAGGGGGGTGTTTTGGGTGTCTGGTCACCCCTCTTGAACTATAACTTTAGAAATAATAATGTGTTATAAACTTATAACTTATAAAATAAATGAGGACTTTGGAAATTTTTTATGTTTAAAATAAACATTTTACTACAACCCACATGGCCACATATTATATGTATACTATACAGCACAGAGTAGTAAAGTATATAAACTTAGTTTATAAACGGCTATATATATCCATTGCTGTTCCCACAAGTTAAAATTTAAGTTTAAAGCTTTTAAACAACGGCTGGAAACCAACTTAAAAATGGTTACTGTTATTGAAGTAATCAGTAATTGTAATAAAAATCTATATCCGAACGTTTATAAACTACTGACAATTCTTTTAACGTTACCCGTGACATCTTGTGAAGTTGAGAGGTTATTTTCAACTTTAAAAAGAATCAAAACATACCTCAGAAACTCAATAGCAGACAATAATAGACTAAATGGATTAGTAGCATTGAATATTCACCGGGAAATTAAAGTTGGTATAGATGACGTCATAAAAGAGTTAACTCAGAGAAAAAGACGATTAGATTTTGTAATTTAAAATTATTATTATTATTATTTGTAATTAATATAATACTATAATAAAATTACTATAATATTATAATATGTATAGTATTTTTGTAAAATGCCTTAACTTTTGACAACTACCAAAATTATATTATGTGATTTTTATCTAAATATATTGGGTGTATATTTTTCAATGAATATTAAAATATAGCAGTCACCTGAATTTTGGGGAACTACGGAATACGTTATTGGTTGACACCTAACCTATCCATAGGTACACGTATGCGGTATGCGTTGGATGAAAAAAAATGTTTCAGTTTCAGTTCTAAGTGTGGGGAACCCCCAAAATGTATTAATATTTTTCTATTTTTGTGTGAAAATCTTAATGCGGTTCACAGAATACATCTACTATCCAAGTTTCAACAGTATAGTTCTTATAGTTTAGGAAAAAAGTGGCTGTGACGTACGGACATGACGATATCTATACGGAACCCTAAAAGGATCATCTAACGGACTATTAGACCATTAATACCAGGACCGCATATCGTGGTATTGGTATACCGCCCCGCCCAGACACGCGAACGAGACAGTGGCCCGTCGCCCGTGACGACCGCGACGCAGAGAACGGCTCCTTCCGCATGAGACCCTGGTACCACAATCGCGGTTTTCGCTCCGTCAACCGTCGAACCGCGGTCGCTTGACTTCGCGGTCCCTTTGCCGCTCTACCACCGCCGCGATCGCCTAACGCGGTTCGCTGCCACTGTTCAACTGTGCGCCCTCGTCGATCTCGACCGCCGCCTGGCACTCGGCGCTGTGTAGTGTGTACGTAGTGGCGGCGTGATGCAGAATTTTTGGGTCAAGTATCTCATCTATAAATTGGGGCGGGGTGGTCTGGTGGGTTGACCTATAGCCCCTTCCAAAATATAAAATTCTTATTGTGCCTAGAGTTGAGTTAAATATATTATTTTAATAAACATTTGGGGGTGAGGGTGGGGGGGTTGTATAGATCAAATGGACATGTGGCTGTCCCATCCATGAAAATAGTTCGCGCCGCCATTGCGTGTGCGTGTAGCCTGTAGGCTTGTAGCACAGACATATTATATTATATAAGTTTACCTACTGTACAGCAGAACGACATCCACTTACCCACCTTTAATTTTATCTATAGCATGTGTGCCCTTTAAAAAGCACCCCCCCTCCCCCCGTTATATTGGTCTGGATCCGCCCCTGGGAATATTACAATAAAAAAAAAACAGTAAATTATACATTTTTTACAAAAGTTTTAAATATCAAATCAATTCATATATCTAACAATTATTCATTAATAATTATGCTATTATTATTTGATTAGTCTTATATATTAAACTAAATTGTGTTTGTTCGGTCGAAAAACGTGAAAATGTAAGCCACTTGTAACCAAAGCGGTACAGCAGAGCGACATCCCCTTACCCTCTTTTTGATATTGGCTAGTATGAATTTATTTTGAATATAACCGTGGCTATAAAAACGTAATACAAACAACCGTAACTATATGTACTGGGGTACACAACGGGGATATAAGGTGTTCTATAAACTGAACGTAACCTAACCTAAAAAACCCCTAATTAATAATATTACATTCTGTTATAACTTACCTACTTCAATAGTTCAATACTTGATACTCAAAAAACTATTAGAAACATGACGGAAATAAGTATTTATTTTCTAAAACAAAATAATATACCTACTCTTTAAATATTATTTCTAGGTCCGATTCCCTATCATTGTATTTTACCATTTTTTTGCAAGCGTTTAGGTGTAGTGCTTGTTTCCAAACGACCCGATGACTAAATTCCACCTAGTTCCATGACTAACATCGCTTGAGCATGGAAAAAAATAATACCTAACACCCTCTGCTAGGTTAACAAAATATGTATAATATACACCAGAGTTAGGAAGTAAATAATAATTTATGGTTCTGATTGTCTGCACATATTGTGTTAATATTAGCCACAAAGTATAATCTCAGTTCAATGATACACAATGTAAAGTACTTATAACAGGGAAAATCATGATAAAGATAAAGCTCATAAAGTCCAGTAACTTAAGCAGCTTCGGATGCGACTATTGATGTGCATCAATTCAAACCGTTTCGTATTCGAGAAGCACTAAACAATTTTATCTCCGCTGTACAGTAAACATTGAATCTTATTATATAATATATACAGGGCCTGAGTTAGGGGGGGGGGGGGGGGGGTGTAACTTATAATAGTACCTTTGTGCGAATACTTAGGTACCTATTTCAACCTTAATTAAAACCGTGTTGTATTCTGATGTAAATGTTAACATCCACTAGTGAATGTCTATATTATTTTAATTTTTCAACATTCACCAATTTAGTAGGTGTACATCAACATTTACTACCTAACCTAACCAATTGCGGACATTCACAGTAACAAATATATATAATTTTATTTTATAACTAGATTCCGGTGTTTGTCATCCCGCCTACGGCGGAAAGACTGTGTGGGCGGTGGTGCATCTTTGTCGGCTATGCTGGGTTTTTTGATCCAGCCTGCGGGGGGAAGGGGGGTCGTCGGGTATTATGTTTTGTCGTGTTGGCAGCACTTTTTAAGCGGTAATTTTTGAACTCGGAAGAGTGTCTAGTCGTAAGTCACGCGATTCAAGTCGATCGTAAGACACAGCCAGCCAGGTAGGCAATCCGACTACGTCGGATCGCAGACCATGCCCCATTCGTGTATGCCGGTTCTTGAGTGTGTGTGTTGAAATCGGAAATTCGGATTCTGGGTTTGAGTGTCTAGCTATCAGTCATCTCGGGAAAAAGTCTATTCCCGAGTGTCGGATGCAGTGGGGGACACTGGGGGTGTAAGTCGCTCGTATGCAAGTAGCTAGTCAGGTAGGCAATCCGACTACGTCGGATCGCAGACCATGCACCGGGCGTGTGTGTCCGGTTCTCGTATGTGTGTTGAAATCGGAAATTCGGATTCTGAGTTTGAGTGTCTAGCTATCAGTCATCTCGGGTGAAATCCGATTCCCGAACGGACAATCCGCCTACAGCGAAAAGTGCTCGAAACGGCCGTTCAAATATGAAAAAGTATACAGGAGGTAATAAAATTGTATTTGTTGATAATTATAGAGAACAGTTATCAGGTGTTTTATGTTAGGCTTCACTGTAATCAATGTAATCATTGTTATGTTTTCGCGGTTATAACAAATAAGTCGACAAAATCTAATTTTCTGATTGGATATTTTCTAAAATATACCTTCCATGTATATTTATTTAATTATGAGAATTAAGTCAAATTAACAAATAGATAATTATATTGGTGAATAACAAATTTTATTGAAATGTACTACTATAATATTGAACGTAGGTATCTATAAATGAATACACTACACATACTCTCGTTTCCGACACACTACTCCACCCCGGGACTCGAATTTTCGAAAAAAACGGCAAATGAAGCAGTCATATTACAGTCGTCCTATTTTTTAATATAGTATTTATAATCTGTAGCAGTATTTAACCAAATCGGAATCACGTAAAAACTGTAATATATCAAGTAGGTACTACACGTAGGTTAGTTATATTATAATGTATTTGTTTGCGCCGCAAACAGGGTCAGTGTGGTGTTGTGTGTGTGAGACGGTGCTTATCACTTTTGTTGTGTTATCATGTGTGTGTTTTGTTATCTGGTGTGTTATGTTGTGGTGATGTTTGCGAAAAACCACCATATTTTGTGTGTTAAGCTTTCTGGCACTGGTTTGCCAAATTCATTTGAAGTCAAGCTCGACTCTGAGCACTTTTGATATATGACACTGTTTCAACTGCCGTTCAAAAAGACACTGTTTCAACTGCCGTTCAAAAAAACACGTTTCAACTGTTGTGGGTTCCGGTGGTGCCACCGACCGAAAACCACATGTTCTGAGTACTACACACTCATATATCATACCATCATATATGGATTCGGTGCTTCTACAGTTCTTCTTTGGGTAACATTAGCTAGTAGTACAACAATTTCTGACAGCCTTTTCCCCCTTTAGGATTGATCATGGCAGCTGCGTTTGGTGTTGTGATTTGTGTTTATGAATAAAGGCAGTGGTGTGGTCACAGCGTGCCCGTCTCAGCTTCAGTTTTGTTGCCTGTATGTGAGTGTGAGTATTGGTCGACCATTTATGCATATTATTCTAGTCATTATTGTATCATTATTATTGTAAATGCCAACAGGCACATTGTAGAATCATTATTATTGTAAATGCCAACAGGCACATTGTAGAATCATTATTATTGTAAATGCCAACAGGCACATTGTATTATTCTTATTGTAAATGCCAACAGGCACATTGTATTATTCTTATTGTAAATGCCAACAGGCACATTGTATTATTATTATTGTAAATGCCAACAGGCACATTGTAGAATCATTATTATTGTAAATGCCAACAGGCACATTGTATCATTATTATTGTAAATACCAACAGGCACATTGTATTATTCTTATTGTAAATGCCAACAGGCACATTGTATTATTATTATTGTAAATGCCAACAGGCACATGGTTCTAGTAACTCTATTAGCCAGTCAGACTTTTGTTCATTTCTTAGGTGTTGTAACCATTAGAGGGTCTCAATAAACGTTACATTATTACCTTACTTGTTATTACATTATTATTCACAGGCGCGAGGGTGTACTTGGTGTTTCACTTGATACACCAATCATTGAGCGCGCATTCATTTTTGGTGACCTCGACGTGATACATTTATTTCTTTATCAAGTTGTTTGTTAAGTTAATAGTGTAAGTGTAATAGGTTGTTTGTTGTGTCCCTCTGGTGGTTTATAGGTCATTGTAGTTTAGTTAATCACTGTAACAATCAAAAGTTGTAAATCATAGACTGACAGTGTCAATTGTTTATTTGTAAGTCATCCAATTATTGTCTTGTAAGCCAAATTAAGTCTAATCTACACTGTCAGTAAGAGTCAGTCAACATTCGCCGTGAGTGGATCGTTAATCTTGTAATTTGTTAACTTGTTGTTTTTTATTTTTTCTATTGTGAGATAAGCACTTGGTGCATAACACTTCTTTGTAAAATCAGGTATGACGGCCAAAGCGGTTAATAGGAAACTTAAGGTCATCGCCTCTGAACTCGCAGCATTATTATCATTCAGCTCTCAGTTTGATGTGTCATCTGGTAACATCAATGAGGTGCGTGCAAGAATCGAATCCTTGCCTGAGGTTGCTGAAAGATTTGAACTGCTTCAAACCGAATTAGAGAACCTTGAGGAACATGTACCTGATGAGCAACGTGTTTCAGAACGATTGACACACAAAGATCTTATGTTCAGTGTCAAAGCATCCTTAATGAGTCTTTTGGAGTCCAAGCAGGAGAAAGGTTCAAGTGCTCCATCAATTAGTGAAGTGACAAGACTTGATGGCGTTAGTGCAATGAGACTTCCGCCAATTGATGCACCAAAATTCAACGGTGATTGGCAGATGTGGACGTCGTTCATAGATTCATTTAATGCTATGTTTCACAAAAACAAGGATTTGCTCCCAGTTCAACGGTTGTACTATTTAAAGAGTTGCTTACAAGGACAGGCTCGTGAGGTTATTAGTTCAATCCCTACTATTGGTGAAAACTATTTACAAGCATACAATACAATAGTTAACAGATATGAGAATAAGGGTGCCATTATTCAATCACACATTCGGTCACTCTTAGACACACCAAGAGTACTTACTGCGTCAGCCACAGAGCTACAAAATCTTCATCATCACATCATGTCTAATGTCAACGCGCTAAGGGCTGCAACTCAACCAGTAGATTCTTGGGATGCTTGGTTAGTAACGTTGATCTGTAGTCGCATGGACAGCGCCACAGTTGCCGAATGGCAGCTACATTATAACAAAAAGGACTTGCCATCTTTTACTGAAATCGAATCGTTCTTGTTTAATAGAATCGCTGCTTATGAAGCTGGGGAAATGAACAGCCACAAGGGTGGTTCCAACCCAGTGCCTGCAAAGTTGATCCCATCATCGTTCAACAAACAGAAACTCTCTAAATTTAACGACAAGAAAATTCTGTTTGCCAAATATAACGAGAGCAAACCTAAGTGTATCTCCTGTAACTCTGAGCATTACTTATTTCAATGTATGAAATTTAAAAATTTGTCAGTTGAGGAACGCAGAGATGTTGTGTTCAAGAATCGGTGTTGTTTCAACTGCTTGCGATCTGATCACCAAGTGCGTCAATGCAGATCGTCATCATGCACCCAATGTGGAAAAAGACACAACACTTTGTTGCACCTCAGCTATGGAGAGCAAGAGACAGATGAGCCACGCAATGACGATAACCAGTCAGATCAGGGGTCAAGTAGCGCATCACCCAATGTAGTCGGTTGTGGTATGGTAAACAGAACAGTACATTGTAAGCCTACTATTCAGGTTATATTGGCTACAGTTGTGGTCCATGTGAATGACTCATCAGGTAACGTGATGCGTTGCAGGGCAGTACTTGACTCAGGATCTCAATTGTGTTTTATCACTAACAAACTGGCTCGACGCCTCGGGTTACAGATAGTCAACAATACGGTTCCTATTACTGGCATCGGGCAGTCACGATCATCTACCAGCAAATGTTGTTTGGGTACAGTGCAGTCTCGGTTTGTCCAAACACAGTTCCAGGTGCAACTTCATGTATTACCTACCATCACTGGCGACCTTCCAACACAGAGGTTTGACACAAATCAATTAAACATCCCTCGTGAAATACAATCAAATTTAGCTGATCCTGAATACAGCAAACCTGGGTCTGTCGACATGCTCCTTGGTGCTGAAATATTTTTTGAGATTTTAAGACAAGATAAACACTTTGTATCAGAGCATGCTGCTTTCCAGGACACTGTGTTTGGTTGGATTTTGGTGGGTAAAGTCCTCACCCAACCATCTGTGTTATCGCTGGTACGTCCAGTCATAAATCAATGCTCTGCATTATCGTTATTCACATCGGCAGTGTCAAGACGGTTATGCGAAGAGGAAGAATCTGTGGAACAACATTTCACACAAACCACTCGTAGAAATGAAAGAGGACAATTTGTGGTTCGACTTCCGCTGAAAGAACATCCTTTGTGCATAGGAAATACAAGCATTATAGCTAGGAAACGTTTTCTTAATCTCGAACAAAAATTGATCAAAGACAAGGGGTTGTCAAATGAATACGACAACTTTTTGATGGAGTACTTGAAGTTGGGGCACATGGAAAAAATTGGACAGTTCAATGAAACCCAATCCAACGGATATTACATACCCCACCATGCAGTCTTCAAAAGCACCAGCACAACCACGAAGTTACGAGTAGTGTTTGATGCATCTACTATAGGTTCGACAGGGAAATCGTTGAATGACTTACTCATGAAAGGTCCAGTTGTCCAACCTACTTTGTATTCCACACTGTTGCGTTTTCGAGTCCATCAAGTAGCCCTCACAGCAGATATAGAGAAGATGTATCGACAAATACTGGTTCATAATGACGATTGCCAGCTACAAAAAATAGTTTATCGGTCAAGGCCAACTAATGAGCTTCAAGAGTTCATGTTGAAAACAGTCACGTATGGTACAAAAACTGCCCCGTACTTAGCCACCAGGTGCCTGGTACAATTGGGTAATACATGCACTGATCCGGACTTAGCAAGAATTATCCAAAGGGATTTCTATGTAGATGATTTATTGACAGGAGCAGACACCGAGGAACAATGTTATGAGATTTTCCAAAAACTCACCAGTGTGCTCAACGGCGCCCAGCTACCATTAAGGAAGTGGTGCTCAAACTCGTCAACACTCTTGTCCTTATTACCTACTACCACTGATGATAACTACATAATAACATTGTCAGAATCTGACTCAGTGAGTGCATTGGGGTTGCAATGGCAACCAAGCACAGATAGTTTTAAATTTGTCATGAAACCATGGACTCCACCTAAACGAATGACTAAGCGTAGTTTGTTGTCAGATATCAATAGTATTTATGATCCCATTGGTTTGATTACTCCAGTACTCATCAAAGGAAAGATTTTTTTACAACAGTTATGGAGTCTGAAAATTGACTGGGATGAAGTATTATCAGATGACATTTGTTCAAGGTGGACAACCTTTTATTCCAGCCTCCATCAACTTGTTGAGTTATCAGTACCTAGAAAGGTGTTACTCGCCGATGTGATCAATCTCCAGATACACGGTTTTTGCGACGCGTCTCAATTGGCATTTGGTGCTTGCGTGTACCTGAGGTCGGTCACACGTGACGGCAGTGTGTATGTCCACTTGTACACATCGAAGTCCAGGGTCGCACCACTGAAGGCCACGACCATTCCGAGGCTCGAATTATGTGGCGCTGTGACATCAGCCGAACTTGTCCTTGAAGTTCAAGCCGAATTACGTCAGTTAAATGTCATAGTCCCACCTAACAATGTATTTTTATGGAGCGACTCCACAATTGTTCTGGCGTGGATCGCGAGCACTAGTTTATTCCAGGTGTATGTTTCAAATCGTATAGCTCGTATCCGAGACTTATCAACTACGCGTCAATGGCACCACGTCCCAACAAACGATAATCCTGCGGATGTAATTTCACGAGGTGTTGACGTGCGTACAATCACTGTCTCCTCTCTTTGGTGGCATGGGCCATCATGGTTGAGTCAAGAGTCAATTGCATGGCCAGACTGTCCATCGTTACCAACAGAGATGCCTGAAGTTAAACCTGTGAAATTCGTCTTATCAGCATCCCAAGCAGCTTCACCTTGGTTATTAGAATCATATTCAGATTGGATGAAATTGCTGCGGATTTCAGCTCTTGTCATGCGGTTTATCTCAAATTGTCAGATAAAAGCAGAGTGTAAAGAAAACCGGTGTGTTGGGTTTATTCTATCGCAAGAGTTACAGGTAGCAAGGAACCACTGGTTGCGACAAGCTCAAGCAGTAGCATTTCCTGAAGATTATTCTTTGCTAAAAAACAAACAACAAGTTTCCCGTCGCAGTTGCTTAAAACAGTTAAGTCCATTCATTGATGAGGCTGGGCTCATTCGTGTTGGAGGTCGTTTGATGAATGCTTCCATATCAAGCTCCATGAAGCATCCCATCGTATTACCATCCGCCAGCCAAGTAACTCGATTACTGTTCAAATATGAACATATCAGATTACTGCATGTAGGACCATTGGCATTGTTATCACATATCAATAATTATTACTGGGTTATTAGAGGTCGGTGCATAGCAAGATCCACCGTAAGTCGCTGTATTCAATGCTTCAAAACCAGTCCTAGATTTGTATCACCATTCATGGCACCCCTTCCACGTGAAAGAGTGACCATCGCAAGACCTTTTGCACGAACTGGTGTAGATTATTGTGGCCCGGTGATGGTGCGAAGTGGGTTAAGGAAAGTTACTCCTCTGAAGTGTTACGTGTGTGTGTTCATTTGTTTGGTAACCAGAGCAATACATCTAGAGTTAGTGGCGTCATTGTCAGCAGATGACTTCTTGAGCACCTTATCCAGGTTTATGGCTCGTCGGGGGCAATGTCGAGAACTGTTCAGCGACAACGGTACCAACTTTGTCGGCGCAGATCGAATCTTGCGAATGCACATTCAGGACTGCCAAAAGACAACCAAAGTACACAATTTTTTAAGCAGCCGAGGCATTGACTGGCATTTCATACCTCCGTCAGCACCTCACTTTGGTGGCATTTGGGAGGCGGCGGTCAAATCAGCCAAAAAACATTTGTTGCGTGTTTCCAAAGGCGTTATGATGACCTATGATGAGACTACCACATTGCTATGCCGCATAGAAGCAGTTTTGAATTCACGGCCATTGACACCACTGTCAAGCGACCCTTCTGACTTCACTGCGTTGACAGCTGGCCATTTTTTGATTGGTGGTCCATTACAACTCCCACCTGAACCAGATTGTACAGGCATTCCACAGAACCGTCTGCGTCGATTCCAACTCATGCAAGCCCAAGCACAGAACTTTTGGAAACGGTGGTCTTCTGAGTACTTGCCGCAGTGTCAACGACGTGGCAAATGGACCAAACTCACACGCAACATTGAAGTAGGAGATTTAGCAGTCTTGAAGAATGACAACAGCCCACCTCTGCAATGGGACCTAGTTCGTGTTACCAAGGTTCATCCAGGCCCTGATGGAATTGTACGAGCAGTCACGGTACAAAGTTCTTCGGGCGCTGAGTTCAAGCGTCCAGCAACCAAGTTGGCTGTTCTACCCACCGAGAACGATGAAGTCGGAGAAGGGCAGAACATGTCTTAAATTGTTATATTGTATTCCTTGATCATTTGTAATTATTGTAAAAGTATCTGTTGTGGGTCATGTACTCAAATTGTCATTTAGTCAAAGTCATTTAGTCAAAGTCATTTAGTCCACAATTATTGTAATTTTTGAAAGGCATATCCCTTTCAAAAGGGGGGAATATGTTTGCGCCGCAAACAGGGTCAGTGTGGTGTTGTGTGTGTGAGACGGTGCTTATCACTTTTGTTGTGTTATCATGTGTGTGTTTTGTTATCTGGTGTGTTATGTTGTGGTGATGTTTGCGAAAAACCACCATATTTTGTGTGTTAAGCTTTCTGGCACTGGTTTGCCAAATTCATTTGAAGTCAAGCTCGACTCTGAGCACTTTTGATATATGACACTGTTTCAACTGCCGTTCAAAAAGACACTGTTTCAACTGCCGTTCAAAAAAACACGTTTCAACTGTTGTGGGTTCCGGTGGTGCCACCGACCGAAAACCACATGTTCTGAGTACTACACACTCATATATCATACCATCATATATGGATTCGGTGCTTCTACAGTTCTTCTTTGGGTAACATTAGCTAGTAGTACAACAATTTCTGACAGCCTTTTCCCCCTTTAGGATTGATCATGGCAGCTGCGTTTGGTGTTGTGATTTGTGTTTATGAATAAAGGCAGTGGTGTGGTCACAGCGTGCCCGTCTCAGCTTCAGTTTTGTTGCCTGTATGTGAGTGTGAGTATTGGTCGACCATTTATGCATATTATTCTAGTCATTATTGTATCATTATTATTGTAAATGCCAACAGGCACATTGTAGAATCATTATTATTGTAAATGCCAACAGGCACATTGTAGAATCATTATTATTGTAAATGCCAACAGGCACATTGTATTATTCTTATTGTAAATGCCAACAGGCACATTGTATTATTCTTATTGTAAATGCCAACAGGCACATTGTATTATTATTATTGTAAATGCCAACAGGCACATTGTAGAATCATTATTATTGTAAATGCCAACAGGCACATTGTATCATTATTATTGTAAATACCAACAGGCACATTGTATTATTCTTATTGTAAATGCCAACAGGCACATTGTATTATTATTATTGTAAATGCCAACAGGCACATGGTTCTAGTAACTCTATTAGCCAGTCAGACTTTTGTTCATTTCTTAGGTGTTGTAACCATTAGAGGGTCTCAATAAACGTTACATTATTACCTTACTTGTTATTACATTATTATTCACAGGCGCGAGGGTGTACTTGGTGTTTCACTTGATACACCAATCATTGAGCGCGCATTCAGTATTATTAAAAGAAACATGTAGGTGCGTCGGTAAATGTTAATTATAATAATTTTTTTGCCCAATAAATATCGTCAAACGAATAATAATAATATATATAATATAATAATGCAAATTAAAAAAAAAAATTAACACTTTCGTTAAAAATGATAAATGTGACGAAAAAAAAAACGCAAAAAAAAGAAATTCGATTTAACACGGCCCCGCCGGCGTTCGAAACCACGACCGTCGAATCACCCGTTTTAACGCCTAACCTACCTAGCCACCTACCGAGATGAAATTAGGAGCCAAATCTATGACTCTTAAGGGCGTTTGAGCGGACCACCATGTCCGCCATCTTCGGACGTTCAAGACGCGAGATTTGCGAAAAAAATCGAACCTCGAGGCGCATGTATATATGCCTGTATATAGCGATACCTACACGGTACCTACTCTCGTTTCTGACACACTACTCCACCCCGGGACTCGAATTTTCGAAAAAAACGGCAAATATAGTCGTACTATTTTTTAATATAGTATTTATAATCTGTAGCAGTATTTAACCAAATCGGAATCACGTAAAAACTGTAATATATCAAGTAGGTACTACACGTAGGTTAGTTATACGTTATTATAATGTGTTAATAAAAGAAACATGTAGGTGCGTCGGTAAAATCAAGTATTAATTAAATGTTAATTTTAATTATTTTTTTGCCCAATAAATATCGTCAAACGAATAATAATAATATATATAATAATATAATGCAAATTTAAAAAAAAAATTAACACTTTCGTTAAAAATGATAAATGTGACGAAAAAAAAACCGTGTCCGCCACCTTCGGACGTTCAAAACGCGAGATTTGCGAAAAAAATCGAATCTCGAGGCGCATGTATATACATGCGTATATATGCCTGTATATAGCGATACCTACACGGTACCTACTCTCGTTTCCGACACACTACTCCACCCCGGGACTCGTCTGTGGCTATAAATATAGCAGGGAACGCGAATAAGTAGTCGACGGGGAGGGTGATATGACCGAAAGGGGCTAAAACTATAATTTTCAAAAAAACGGCAAAAAGAGCAGTCATATAGTCGTACTATTTAACTGCCAGAGTTTAATCAGTTCTATTAGATCTATTAGTTTATTAATACCGTATTAAACAGTATTTAACCTAAAAACTGTAATATATCAAGTAGGTACTACATGTAGGTTAGTTATATTATATTGTATTTATATAAGAAACATATAGGTGCGTTGGTCACGGTAAAATCAAGTATTATTATTATTATTTATAAAATAGTACAGTATCATTATACAATTTAGTTACAATTTAAAATATCTACTTTAATATATATTAATATTTTTTTGCCAAAAAAAAAAACATTCAAATTATCACGGATGGCGCAAACACTGTCCGCTCCCCGATCTCCTCCGCGGAACACGACTCGAGCGAAGTACTGACGACGGTGGCTTATAAATTTAGCGGGGAATGCCAATAACATCCAAACAGGCAGGGTAAAACCACTAAAACGGGCCAAGAAACGAATTTTAGAAAAAAACAGCAAAAAACGACGCGACGCATGTATTTATTGCTGTATATAGCGATACTTACACGGTACCTACTCCCTTTTCCGCGACGCCGCTCTTTCCCGGGACTCGTCTGTGAAAAAGTAGGGCTATAAATTTAGCGGGGAACGCGAATAAGATTCAAACGGGGAGGGTAATACGACCAAAAGGAGCTCCTTTCAAAAACTCAAGTCGCATAATATATTCACGCCCATGTATAGTAATAAAGACACTGTCCGCTCTGCTAAATCATTTGACGGGGAACGCGAGTAAGTCTTTAACGGGGAGGTCCGAAGTCAGTAGAGGCGTTAAAACTCGAATTTTGAAAAAAATCGGAACATTTACGTTAAAAATGATAAGACGGAAGTGATAGCGAACGACGAAAAAAAAAATTAATTTATCCCGGCCGCCGCAAATTATCGTATATTCCCGGGGGCCGGGGGGTTTGAACCCACGACCCTCGAGTCACCTGTTCTAACGCCTAACCTACCTAACTACCTACTGAGATGAAAACCTGAGTCAAATCTATGACTCTTAAGCCGCGTTGCCGTCCCCGCGAAAGGCGAACGCCGTTTAGAAGAGGTTCAAAGGGAGTTTGAGCGGGCGATCCGACAGCGTCGGCGAGCGGACGACCGTCGCGAGATTCGCGAAGAAAATCGAACCTCGAGACGCATGTATTTATGCCTGTATATAGCGATACCATACACGGTACCTACTCTCGTTTAAGCGACGCCGCTCCTTGCCGGGAACGCGAATAAGATCCAAACGGGGAGGGCGATACGACCGAAAGGGGATAAAACTCGAATTTTTTAAAAAATACGGCAAAAATCACGCGCGACGGCGGCGCTCGTATCGCACGCGATATCTGCCGCCGCGGGCCGGCCGGGAATTAAGTAGGACAGCGCGCCGTCTATAAATTTACCGAGGAACGCGAATAAGGTCCAAATGGGCCCTCCCGAGGCACCCGAGGGGGGTAAACCTCAAAAATGTTGAAAAAAAATTGTGAAAAATGGTCAAAACCGTGAAAAGTGATAAGGAGGAAAGATAACGCAGTGACGGCTCCCCAAAAAACGCCTCGACGCATGTATTTATGCCTGTATATAGCGATACCTACACGGTACCTACTCTCGTTTCCGCGACGCCTCTCCTCCCCGGGACTCGTCTGTGGAGAAGTAGGGCCGCACGCCGGCTATAAATTTAGCGGGGAACTCGAATAAGTCGTCGACGGGGAGGGTGATACGACCGAAAGGGGCTGAAACTCGAATTTTCGAAAAAAACGGCAAATGGAGCAGTCATATAGTCGTACTATTTTTTAATATAGTTTATTAATATCGTATTAAACAGTATTTATAATCTGTAGCAATATTTAACCCAATCGGAATCACCTAAAAACTGTAATATATAAAGTAGGTACTACATTACAATTATATTGTAGGTTGGTCACGGTAAAATCAAGTATTAATTATATGTTAATTATTATTTTATTGCAAAATAAATATATATAAATACCAATATATATAATATTATAATAACGCGAATTTTGAAAAAAATCGGAACACATGATTAATGTGACCAAAAAAAAACGCGAAAAAAAAAATTCCATTTATCACGGGCGCCGCAAATTATCTATTGTCCTGGCGGCGGTTTCGAAACCACGACCCTCGAGTCACCTATCCTAGCGCCTAACCAACCTAGCCACCTACTCAGATGAAATTTCGAGGCAAATGTATGACTCTTAAGCCGCGTCGCCGTGCTCGCGGCGATAAAATAAAATTCTTATCACTTTCCTTATCAATAAAAACAATATTTAAGAAAATCCCAATAAATCCTATCAAAAACTCAAAACCCCGAGTTTCCCCTTGGCGAGGTGGGTGTTAGTACTCTCCCGGACCAAAATCCATCAAAAAAGCAAAATCCAAAAAGGGGGGGGAGGAGGTGCCCCCGTTCCCTAAAGCGGAAAACGGTAGTATTCATAAAAAGAATGGGTTCCCCGTTGGTCCGAGGTCTTTAACTTGAATTCCGGCCGAGTTATACTCAACTCAAAATGTGGGGGGGGTGGGGGCTTTGGTTCCCTAATGTTGAAAATTCATCTGGGGCCTAAAAAATTGAGATGCCCATTGGTACGGGGTCTCTAAGTCGAATACCGGCTAAGTTAT